GCGGAGTTTGGGCGGGGGCGTGGGCGGGGCGGGGGGCGGGGCCGGGGTCCCGTGGAGTGTCCTCTTTTGGGACACTCCACATATGGTAACCCTACTGTAGCTAAAGCAATGGGGTTTGCTGGAATGCTGGCTAGTTTTTGTTAGGTCTTGGCCTGCTATTTTTTAGCGATGCCAAGCTCCCATTGATCTGCGGGCACTCAGCCCCTCTGAAAATCAGGCCACTTGGCTTTGGGTGGGGGACAGTCTTCTCTCTTGAGTAAACATTGATACATTTCTGGAGTAGAAATTGTCTGACTTTTCCTGGGACAGGATACTGTAGTTTTCCATGTTTACAGCCAGGACTCCATGATCTAGAGGAATTTTGAAGGAATTGCAATCTTAATTTCAAATACAAAGTGCTGTCTATTAGCTTTAAAAAATCAAAACAAAGATTTTTAAAACAAACATTGCCAGATTTCTGCTGTGGAAATGACCTTCCCACAGTCTGCTTGATCACAAGGGCCGTTCTAATATTGTTATATTGTTAAGGCATTGCCTCTCTTCTGTGAATTTAAAATCTGCCTGCTGCAAGGATTTTATGCACCAGGAGAGGGCGGTATGGGATAAAATACAATCCTTCCCTCTCTGCAAAGATCTCTTCATACGCAGCTGACATATACATAGACTAACAATCAACGGTGCAACAAGAGCCTAGTTCCCTTAAATAAAAATGTCTCATAAAGACCATATTGAGACAAGGTAAAGGCAACGGCCATTGCATTTTACTGGCGAGGTCAGTTAGTCCTTAAGTCTGTTCAGATGCAGAGAAATGTGAGCTAAGGAAGAGTTAGAGTAGGAAATGCAATCCCAGGGCACCGAATTCAAAAATCTTTTCAAAACATGGGTTTTCAAGGCCAGCATGACTTCACCGTGCTCCCAGCTGCAGGAGCAGGAGTACATGCGTTTGTATCCGGTAATGACAGGAGTGGCATGCTTAGGGTTGCCAACTTTCTACTGGCACAAAACTGAACACCCTTGTCCCACCTCTGCCCTGCCCCTCCTCCAAGGCCCCGCTCCAGCCCCACCCCTTATCCTAGGCCTTGCCCCCGGTCACTTCATTTCCCCCCCCCCCCCCCCGTCGCTTGCTTTCCCCACCCTCACTCATTTTCCCTGGGCTGGCTCAGGGGGGTGGGGTGCGGGAGGGGGTGAGGGCTCCGTCTGGGGGTGCAGGCTCTGGGGTGGGGCCAGAAATGAGGAGTCCGGGCTGAGGCAGGGGGTGATGGTGTGGGCGGGGGAAATGAGGGGTGCGGGGGGGTGTGAGGGCTCCAGGCTGGGGGGTGGAGCCCAGGGGTTCGGAGTATGGGTGAGGGCTCTGGGCTGGGGATGGGGTGTGGGAGGGGGTACAGGCTCTGGGCTGAGGGTGCGGGTTCTGGAGTGGGACCAGAAATGAGGGGTTCAGGATGTAGGAGGGGGCTCTGGGATGGGGCAGGGGGTTGGGCTGGGGTGTGAGTGAGGGCTTCTGCTGTGGGTGCAGACTCTGGGGTGGGGCTGGGGATGAGAGGTTTGGGGTGCAGGAGGGTGCTCCAGGCTAGGACCAAGGGGTTCGGCGGGCAGGACGGTCTCAAGACTGGGGCAAGGGGTTGGGGTGCGGGATGATGAGGGCTCTGGCTGGGGGTGCGGGCTTTGGGGTGGGGCTGGCAATGAGGGGTTTGAGGTACAGGAGGGTGCTCCAGGCTGGGATCGAGGGGTTCAGAGGGTGGGAGGGGATCAGGTCTGGGCTGGGGCACAGGAGGGGGTCAGGGGTGCAGGCTGTGAGCAGCGCTTACCTCAGATAGCTCTCAGAAGCAGTGGTGTGTCCCCTCTCCAGCTCCTACGCAGAGGCGTGGCCAGGCGGCTCTGTGCGCCGCCCCATCCGCAGGCGCCGCCCCCACAGCTCTCATGCCCACTGTTCCTGGCCAATGGGAGCTGCAGAGCTGTTGCTTGGAGCGGGGGCAGCGTGCAGAACCCCCTGGATGCCCCTACGCATAGGAGCCGGAAGGGGGACATGCTGCTGGCTCTGGGAGCCGCGTGGAGCCACAGCAGGCAGGGAGTCTGTCTTAGCCCCGCTGCGGTGCCTACTGGACTTTTAACGGCCCGGTCAGCGGTGCTGACTGCAGCCGCCAGGGTCCCTTTTTGACGGGCGTTCCAGTCGAAAACCAGACACCTGGCAACCCTAGGCATGCTGCATTGGTTTTCAGGACTGTAAAATGCCACATGATCCCAGGGTCCCACGATGAGGGATCCCAGCATTGCATTCCCTAAGTGAGAAGGAGCCTGGGCTAGGGAGCTCCACAGCACACCAGGCCTTGATTAAGGTAACCCCAGAGACAGGTATGAGCGGAAAGGCACTGGACAACTCAGACTGATTAATTTTTCTTTAGGTTCTCCACGTTGTAGCTTCTTCTGATCAGATAATCCAGGAGTTCTGGAGCCCAGTCCCGGATCAAGAGGGGGATTTTGGTAGCTGCGTATTTGTAATAAATTTCCCGTTGGCGGAGGGCTCCCCCCTTGATGATTTCCAGCGCACACTCCTCCTTTGGTGCAGGGGACATCAGCACCACATCAGAAGCTGCTTTCATGGCACTTTCTAGCACAGTAGAACAAAAGGAGCTTTGGTTAGATTTGCAGTGCTCTCCACTAGTGAGCCCTGCACCTCCGGGGCCAGCTGAACCCAGCTTGGATTTGCTTATTTTAATTGTTGTTTTTAAGCCATTTAACATCAATTGAGCCTTGCGTGGCTTAGTGAGCCTGGGAGAAAACCAGCATAACCCCTCTCTTGTTGTTCTGTATCGTGGTAACACTAGAGGCCCCAGTCAAGACTAGACAAGAGCCCCGATTGTGCTAGGCCCTGTACAGATGCAGAGGTCGATGCAATCCCTGCCCCCAAGAGCTTATGATTTAAGCAGATGAGCCACATAAGGGTTGGGGAGAGGGAGTCAGCTCACTTTCAATGATTTTGATAGGCATACTAGAGCCTGTAAAAACAAGACAAAACAGAATTGGAAATTTCAACAGAGGAAGAGAATTTTGCAAAATGTTGTACGTTCCCCCCCCCCGCTTCCCCCATTTTCCAAGCAACTCTCATGCAGACACTTTCACTTTTTATATATTCACGTTGTAATTACATCAGTACATAAATATACAGCAACCTCTTCAGCTGGTGTAAATTGGTGTCATTCCATTAACTTCAGTGGACCTATGTCAGTTTATACCAGCTGAGGATCTGGCCCGCAGACTCACCCTAACTGCACGTCAGGCTGGCCTAGCCATTATTCATTGACTGATTTCTTTGAAATGATGAGTCAGAAATGGGTCTGAGGGTATGTCTACACTATGGAGCTTATCCCATCATAGTTATGTCACTGGAGCTGTGCCGGCATAGCCCCCTAGTGTAGACGTAATAGAGCAACAGAATGAGTTTTGCTATCGCTGTCGCTCCCCTTACGACATTAGCTACGTCTCTGGAAGCACTCTTCAGTTGACAGAGCTGCAGCTACACTGCTGGCTTTGTCAGCATAATTATGCAAGGCAGGGTGTGTTTTTTTTGCTGATTGACATAGTTATGCTGGTATAAAATTTCAGTGTAGGCCAGGCTTTGGAGGAGGGTGGGGGTAGTGTTCTTCCAGATCAGTCCAGAGAGGACATTCCATGTATTCGGGGTGGCATGAAAGAAGACAAGAATGTTTGTGGGGAGTTGACAAGTAGCATTGGTGGAGCAGAGGCAAGAGAGGAGGAGGAATGGAGGGGAGAGTTGTGAAGCAACTTGAAAGTTAGGATAAAATGCTTGAACTTGAAGGGTGACTAGTTCCTAATCAGCAAGGTCCACATGGCACTGATCTTACCTGTATCAACGAAGCCGAGTATACAGAGCGTGATGGAAACATCAACCTTCTGAATGATTAATTCCTGCCGCAAGGAGCTGAAAAACCCATCTAGGGCAAACTTCGTTGCAGAGTAGGGAGCAGTAAATGGAAACCCAACTTTACCTAGACACAGAGGAACAATGTTGACACAGTTAAGTTCTGTTGCAGTGCTGCAGAAAGCTTTATTTGATTCTGCACCAGATGGAACATTCTTTCCAAGTGCGTTGAGTGCCGGTGAAGTGTCACGCCGACTGCCCCAGAGACGCAGGCTGGGGGGTTCAGAGGACACAAAGGTAAATAGGCACTCAAATCCTATTGCTTTTCACTCTCTTAAGGTCCTTTGAATAGCCCAGCCAAATGTCCTGTTCATGCACAGAGCGGGCGGCTTCCCACCTTCAATGCTCTCAACTGATGTGCTCAGACCTGACCTGGAGAGATCACCTACAATGTTGAGTCAGTCTCAATGGCCCTTTGGGTCCTTGGCTCCTCAGCTGAGCTCACCAGCAAGGGGTTGACTAAGACGGCAGATTTACAATAGGGAAACCTGTCACCAGCGAACCATCAGCTAGGGGGTCAGCTGGCTATTGAACTTGATCCACAGAAACAAAATGACTATGTCTAGTCAGTCAAATAGCCAAGACAAAGAGAGAGCCACATATTTCCAGTCTGTTCTGGTCAGACTGTAATGCCAATATTTGAAGAGCTTGAGCTGTGCTCCTCCAATGAGCCCCTTTGCTTATAATCAAGAAGCATGCCAAGGTGTTCAGCTTCTATTGACAAAGCGCTAGGGGGAGCAAAACCCAAGGGAATCATAGAATATCAGGGTTGGAAGGGACCTCAGGAGGTCATCTAGTCCAACCCCCTCTCAAAGCAGCACCAATCACCAGACAGATTTTTATCCCAGTTCCCTAAATGGCCCCCTCAAGGATTGAACTCACAACCCTGGGTTTAGCAGGCCAATGCTTAAACCACTGAGCTATATTTCGTTTTGAAGGTGCTGAGTACTTGCCTCTCCCATTGACATCCCTCGGATTTTTGGGTGCCCATCACTTCTGAAAATCAGCCCCAAGGTCTCTGCCCCCGTTCACGGCTCACCTGCCATGGATGAAACCACCACGATGCTGCCCCCGCTGTCTTTCAGCCTGGGCAGCGCTGAAACAGTCATGGCCACGTAGCTGAGAAAGTTAATCTTCAGAAGCTTCTGCACGTGCCCCACGTCTCCGTCGAAATAGTTGAAGTATGAGTTGCCAACGTGGTTGAGGATCAGCATGTCTAGGCCTCCTGAAAGCCAAAGGGAGAGCTAGGGATGCTTTAGTTTAGGGGGGAAGAGAGCGAAGGAAGTGCAGAGCACACCGCTTGTGTACGCTACATATCTTTTCCTATAGTCACTATGAATCTCTGCAGGAATTTATTCCTCGGAATGAAATACCTCTATTATTCTTATTATTTTTAATAATAAGGGAGGCTCTTGGGTCACTGCACGGGCCTTTCATCTCTGCAGAGCTGGGTCAAAATCCAGATTCTGCTTGCCAGTATGTGTGACTGGCATGCACTCACCAAGTCCCAGTCTTCAGATTACACACCTCTACTCCGATATAACGCGACCTGATATAACACGAATTTGGATATAACGCGGTAAAGCAGCGCTCTGGGGGCGGGGCTGCGCACTTTGGTGGATCAAAGCAAGCTCGATATAACGCGGTTTCACCTATAACGCGGTAAGATTTTTTGGCTCCCGAGGACAGTGTTACATCGGGGTAGAGGTGTATTACAAAAACACTTTGTTGTGATTTGTACTTTCGGCTCATTCAGGGTGGAGTGGGTGGGGGGACACACGCAGGTCCTTCTTGACCTGCATGTGGGCCCACAGGTGCAGCATCAGGATGTGTGGCAAGAAAGAGCAGACAGGTGTGCCTTTGCTATAATTGGCATAGCAGGGTTGCTACAGCTTAAAGAGTCTGGAAGGCCTAGGAATGTAATACCCACGTCTCTGGGATGGAGAACCAGGAGCAGAGTGTTACAGAGGTGTAGGACTGCAATCAAGAGTGCCCTTGAGATCAAGCCTGAGCGGCGGAGCTGTGTGTGGGTCCAGGTTTTGAACAGCATGGGGGGTCAGCAGGGCAGGATTGCAGTCCACTAGCAGGACAAAGACTGACACAGCAGATGATGCTTCTAATCAGGGCAGAGTTGCATGGGCAGAGCTGGGGTGGGTGCAAGCACAGAGCCTGTCTATGCTATGGTTGGCTCTCTTCAATCCTATTTGTATCTCACATTCACAAGTGGCCAGTTAATACATTTAATAATAATTGTAACTATAACTCGATATAGTTACTAAATGTATGGATTGGTCACTTGTGAATGTGAGATACAAATAGGAATATAATCCTTCATTCTTCTCATTACACACACACACACACACACACACACACACACACACACACACACACA